TTGTTACACTCAATCTTTGCACATTTGATTGCAGGAGTTGTTTAAAGCTTTCCAGTGATGATGCCCCAACTGTGCTTGGTGGCAACGAGTTCCAGTCTACGATAGTTTTGGGGAATATGAGTTTTTCCCGGATAGCTTTTCCTGCCAGTAATAAGTAATGTGTGGGTTTGGTCACCCTAGGAGCTTGTTCTTGTGGCGTCAGTGGCACAACGGTTAGAGCGTTGGACTCGGAACCGAGAGGTCCCGGGTTCGATACTCACCGTGGCCCGACGTTGTGCCCTTGGGAAAAGCACTTTACACGACTTCCCCACCTGTACGGTGGAGTGACACCCACCGAGCCTCTTAGGCTAATCTGTCTGTCAGGGTGCCAAAAACACCTTACGGATTTGGTGCGCCAATGTGACAACATCTCATATTGGCCACTGAGAGCCGTAAAATTATTATTATTATTTATTAGGAGCTTGTTCTGGAACTAAAGGGGGGTTTCTGGCAAAACCTTTCAGGGCAGATAAATTCAGAAAGGAACAATGTATTTTAATGATTTTTGGTATGTGGGTAGCTTAGACAGAGATCTACATTATTGGATGCAAATTATGCAAATGATGACTTCATTTGCATAATTAATGAGGAAATTCTGTAATTTCAGTGTTTTACATCATGGGACTTTGATTCATGTAATGTTTATAATGGCAGGTCCAATATAACCAGATACCAATTACGCAAATACGGATTATTTGCATAATTAATCTGAAAATTCAATGACTTTTTCTTATCAATGACCGATTTATTATCAAGATATTATTTCTGTGCTACTTCATTATCTAATTGTTACTTTTTGTTATAATATTCTTGTTATTAGTATAATTATTATTATTATAATGCGTTAGTGAAGGTTAGACATCCAGGTAATTAGATATGCCAAAAACAGTTACTCAAGCAACTGGATATGATTTTGGAAACTGTCAGACGATTCTGATCAGATACTCCTTTGAACTTAGTGATGTTGACCTTGTTTCTGTAGGTCAATGGTTTGCACTTCTGTGTTTTCTTAGACTGAACTGAAGGTTTGAGGGCTTTGTTGAAGGTCCAGTTTTGGTAGCCACACTTGGCCAGGGCACCTCGGAGGTGTCTATGTTCGTCTATTTTAGATTTTTCTGAGGAGAACAGGAGTTGTCTGCGTGAGAGTTTTAATTACTGCTAGTTTGCTAGTGTGTTCCAATGGGTTGTGGGAAGGCCAGGTATTGATCAGTGTGGGTTTGTTTCCTGTTATATTTCAAAACAAGAGTTCCACGATCTCATACCTTCGCCAAATGATGTTAACCCTTGCGGTTGACAAATCATACAATTTTAAGGGTTTATGGAAAAAGGAGTCCAGTCCGATTGGCGGAAAAAGCAGTCCAGTCCGATTTTGGGGTGGAAAAAGCAGTCCGGTGGTTTCTACGAAATTGTACGAAAGACCATAGGCACAATTTTTTCTTGTGTGTGTACTTCTAGTTTCTATGGGTACTTCGAGTTTCTATGAGTACTTCGAGTTTCTATGACTATTTAGAGTTTGTATGGGAACTTGAATTAGCATATATGTGACTCACTATAGGCAGCCTTGGGTGAGGAATGGCGGAAAACTGATTTACACCTCTTGGGACCACCGAAAAGTAGTTTCTATACATACAGGTCACCTATCCACAATAAACAAAAGTTAATTATTAAGGGATTCTTTCTTACAATTGTACTTCCGGTACTTACATGCTTGTAGGTGTAATGCAAAGTCTGCCATACGTGGCTTTAGCAGGGGCCGGCTGGATGTTGGGCAGCTGGCAACCGTAAAGCGATTCAATCAGGCTACTTGCAAGCAGGATCGGCCCTGGAAATCTCATCAGTTGACCGCTTCATCTTTTGACTAATTATTATTACTTATATGTAAGTAATAATCCAGAGGCATGATGATGATGATATGTAAGTTACAGACTGTAAGTTCCCATGCAAACTCTAAGTACTCATAGAAACTCTAAGTTCCCATACAAACTCTAAGTACTCATAGAAACTCTAAGTACCCATAGAAACTCGAAGTACTCATAGAAACTCGAAGTACCCATAGAAACTAGAAGTACACACACAAGAAAAAATTGTGCCTATGGTCTTTCGTAAAATTTCTTAGAAACCACCGGACTGCTTTTTCCACCCCAAAATCGGACTGGACTGCTTTTTCCGCCAATCGGACTGGACTCCTTTTTCCATAAACCCCAATTTTAATCATTGATTTCACAGATAAGAGCCTCATTTGCATGGATTATATCAGTTGATCATATTCTCCAGGGTTGGACAAGTTTTCAAAAATCCTCTTGCCCTATCGGGCAAGTACATGGTCATTTCCACTTGCCTGAACCAACTTTTCACTTGCCCAAAATATACATGACATTTCAATCAAATCAATCAATCAAATGGTGTTTTATTCGTAAAAAAAACATGGACTTTGCAGCCAAAGGCTGAATTGCGTCCAGTTGTACAATGTACATGCAAATTCATTACACATTTATTTACATTTATTTACACAGGCATTAACACAGGCATTATTTACAACGACTTTAACGTACGGTGTCTAACACAAATAGTGACTGTTCAGGAGGTAGGTCATGTATGGGACGCTACTCTGTTTGTACCGCTCAGTTCTACATTTGGTAAGGGTCAGTTTGTTACTGGAACGAGTGGTGCGCTCAGTGGTGGTGCCCCTCCTGGGCGGTAGCCAGTGTTGGAAGTCCTGTGATCTGAGAACTTTCATAGCAAATTTCAGGCAAAGTTGGACCCTTCGGTCTTCTAGCGTAGGTAAGTCCAGCGTTGCACATGCCTCGGGGTATGAAGTATAAGCTGACCCGAGTATTACTCGACACGCGCGTTTCTGGATATACTCGATCCTGTGACGTTGTCTGGTAGTCAGTCCAGGATGCCAGGTGGGCGCCGCGTATTCACAGCTCGGACGGACAAACGTTTTGTAGCAGGTAAGTAAGTCATCCCTAGAAAGGTCAAACTGTTTGAGTTGTTTGAGGAGGAAGAGCTTCCTGCTACCTTGTTTGACAACGTGATCGACATGAGTATTCCAACCTAGGTCGGCCTGAAGGTGTAAACCAAGGAGTTTCACTGCCTTCACTTCTTCCAACAGTATACCAGCAATGGATAAGGACGGCAGTGGAGGGGAAGTTCTAGTGAAAAACACGTGCATAGCTTTGCACTTCCCTGGATGGAGCTGCATTTTCCTCGATGTTGCCCATTGCTCAAGTATGGTTTAAGTCTGTCTGAATGGTTGAGGTATCCCCGATCATTCTGCTCTCCGCAAGGTTAAGATCGTCAACGAACTTCCACCGCCTAGCGGAGGAGTTCTCGTTTGCACTGTTGATCAGAGCAAGAAATATCAGTGGGCCTAGAACAGTTCCTTGTGGAAGGCCACAAGTAGTCTCTCTCCAGTCAGAATACACCCCCCTTGTATATTACTCTCTGTTGCCTGGCAGTGAGGAAGGAGCAAATCCATTTGGCGAGAGAGCTTCTTAGTCCCAGTTCGAGTAGACTTGAGACAGCTAGGCTGTGATCTACTCTATCGAAAGCCTTAGCAAAGTCAGTTGTTACCAAGGTAGTAACTGTCCCTCTCTTGTCTGAAGTTTTTGTCAGCTGGTTAACAACGTCGACAAGGCAGTGTGTTGTAGAACGCCCAGGAAGGCATCCATACTGGTTTGGGTCGATATTGGACTTGATATCTGTATAAAGTTGTTTGGATATGAACGCCTCCGCTATCTTTGCC